AGGAGTTTCTTATGCTCATCAAGGCTGCATTTATTTGATCAGAAACACAGAAAACAGTAATATTGTGAAATATTATTGCAATTTAAAATAAAGGTTTTCTATTTTAATATACTTTAAAATATACTTTATTCCTGTGATGCAAAGCTGAATTTTCAGCATCATTGCTCCAGTCTTCAGTGTCACATGATCCTTCAGAAATCATTCCAATATGCTGATTTATTATCAATGCTGGAAACAGTTATTATATTTATATACAGTTATATATAAAACAGTAACACAATATTACTCTTTTTTTCTGTATTTCTGATCAAATAAATGCAGCCGTGATTTGCAGAAGAGACTTCTTTAAAAAACATTACAAATCTTACTGATCCCAAACGTTTGAATGAAAGTGTATATATATATATTCCCATTTAAGAGCAAATGTGTTAATTTGGGGGGTTTTCACAGAAAATATTGATAAATTCCAAGACATGACATTATTGAGGCAAAAACATGGTGGTGGTATTTCAAGCTTCAACTGCTCCCACAGTAGGAAAATCCCTTAAGGAATTTACATACGGGTCAGGGGGCATGATTAATTGCGTAAATTTTTGCCAACACATTTTTGTATATAATTAATCACAACTTAATTGACAGCCCTAATTTGATAAAATATCAAACAAAGTGACATTTAATGAAAAACAGCACAAACCGTTTCTCCGGTTTCCCAAAAAGAAGTATTCTAAATTATAATACAACAAATTTCGAAATTTAAGATAGCTGTACTTAAGACGAGTGGTTCTCAAATCAGCACAATATTTGATGTAACGTGAATAAACTATATGGCCTAAGATATTGCCTCTGTTATTTCTGCTGTAATTTTGACATTACATTATTATATCTATCTAATTTAGAAAAAAATCTACCTAAAATTAACTGCAAAAATGGACAAGTAGTTCTGAGAACATTTGCTGGCTCTGTGCAGATGCGGCTGGTTTGATATTTTGTTATCTAATGCAATGGCATTCATACATCAAGTGTGATTCCAAATACATTTTTGGGCCACTGCACAAACTTGTAAACACCGGTCAAAACACTTACCAACCGATACATCAGGATCAAGGAGAAAAAAATAACACTTAAATAGCAAACATCCAAGGTTTATTGAGAGCAGGTTTAGTAACTGTGGTAACTGCAGATACATGCAAGATGAGAAGAACAGAAGCCCACACCCACTCAGTGAGAGCTGGCCAACTGGAGTTTTGGCTTGTCACGGTGTCCATTGGGATACAGCGCCCCCTTATTTTATAATCACAATCAACAAGTGAAACTGCAATGGCTGGGGTTGTAATGCTACTGAAACTGGTTGAAAACTCGACGAATAACGGAAACTGGTCTAACTTCGAGAGATGAGAGGAAGAGAGAAAGAGAGAGGGAGAGAGGCAGCCTTGCTCGTGTTCTCATGTGCAGACATGGGTGTTTTCAGATCTATATCCTCTGTTTGCATGTCAAAAAGTACATTTACAAAGTAAAACTGTTCACTTAAATGGTTATGCCAATAATGTATTTCATAATATTTGTTTTTTAAATTAAAAAAATGACTAAACGACCACAGACTTTGTGTGTGTGTGTATATATATATATATATACATACACAGTATATATGTACATACAGTATGCTGATGGAATTATGCCTTTTTCAGAATACTGTATAATTTTGTCATTTTAATATACATTTATTTATTTTAATATATAATTTTATGTATGTATACAGTACACACTACACATCAATCTCCTCCGTTTATACGTAAAAACACATCCAAGTTAATTTGCAGAAGCAGGTCAAAGACTTTCACTGTGTGAAATATTATTAATAAAAAATCCTACCTGTAACATCTCCGTTTCTCTTTTCTTCGACCTTTGATTTGGTGCATGCGGACACCAGGACGTATGTTGTTTTTGAGGTTAGCTGTCGTCTCAAATCTGTGTACTCTCCCAAAGTACGTACTATGACATTCCTGAAATGGCCAAGAAGAATTACAAAAGCAGGCTATATCTAAACCTGCATATTGTCACGTGACGTTATTTAAATCCATTTACCTTCCTGGAGAATTACAGAAAATCACTTTTCCCTCGCTAGACTGGATCTCATCGATGAACACGCAGCTGTTCTCCTGATCCCACTTCACGACTCTGCAGCCCGCGCGACTCTCGACAGTGAATCCGCGAGGAGGGCTGTTCACGAGCGTCTCTAGCTCGATAACGTCCATAACAAAGTCCGAATTCATGCTTTCGCGCATTTTCATTCTTTTGTAACTTCTAGAGGACAAATCCGAGTGTTCGTCTAGCCAGCGCATGAGTCGTTCTTCGCTTTGATTTGGTGGGAAGTGGAGCTGGTTTATGAATCTGGGCATCAGAGCCAACTGGGTCGTCCTGTAGTTCAGTACAGAGCAGTAAAACATTACTGTGACGGGAAGTTTGAGTTATAGCACCTGTAATACTGATTTAGGAGGGTGACCTCATATTAAAACACTCACAGAGCAAAGTGTTTTTACATCATGGTAAATGTAGTAATTTAATACATCTTTCCTTTTAGTCACATTACAAGTAAGTTAAGCTCCAGCAGTGCAATAGCGTTTCCCTGACTGAGGGAACTCTTACTTTAGGATTACTCAAGTCGCTAACAGCTTTAACTAGTCTTAAAATGGTTTGCAGACTACCAGGCTGATCTATGGATGGTTTTGGGTGATTTTTAGGCTGGAATACCCAGTTTGGCCAAGCTGGGACCCTCAACAAACTAGCTGATTTCCGTAACTTGAATACATGTATATAAACCTCTAAAGATGAATTTGATTGTAGTTTTGATAGTTGTTTTAAATTAGTTGTAGAGTCAGTTTTACACTAGCCATAAAATTCCCCATATTTTTCTATTTCTTACAGAATTATTTTCCACTTACTCAAGGCAGGTAGGGATGGTAACTGGTTTTGAACCATTTCATGCTGTTCCAAATCCAAAACTGGTTTAAGTGGTTAAACAGACTACAAGAGCGAAAGGAATGGTAAGCCATGCTGTTTGTGGCCTGGTTAACCACAAAACAGCTTGAACTGATTGACCTAATTTTAGACTGTCATATGACCTGAAGTTCCAGTAAAGTATAAAAATATAAAAAAGTTGTTGCAGTGATGTTGTGATACTGTTTCGTACTTTTCTGTTTTTATATTCCTTATCCTGGTTTCAACTAAAAATTCCAGTTGGCCAGATCAAGACATCTAAACCAAGTGATGGTTAATTCATTTGAGCCTACCCTCAACATTTAAATAAATGCTGTTCTTTTGGTCATCCTATTTATCAAGGAATCCTGAAAAAAATGGATCAGTTTCCACAAAAATATGAAGCAGCACAACTGTTTTCAATATTGATAATAATATGAAATGCTTCATCAGCAGCAAATGAATACTTGAGCACGAAATCAGCATATTAGAATGGTTTCTGAAAGATCATGTGACTAAAGACCGGAGTAATGACTGATGAAAAATCCGCTTTGCATCACAGCAATAAATTACATTTTTAAATAGATTTAAATAGAAAACAGTTATTGTAATAGTATTTTACAATATCACTGTTTTTACCCTATTTTTGATTTTGAAAAAATGCAGCCCTGTGAGCATGCGATTTCTTTCAAAAACATTAAAATTGCAGACGGCAAACTCTTGAATAGTAGTGTATACATATGCAGACATCTATAATAAATGACATTCAGTCATAAAATAAGATCGAAAGCCGACGCAACAACACTTTTAAAAACGATGCATGAACGTGAACATCAAAAATCAAAGTCAAACGCAAACCAGACAAGTAACATAGAGAAGTAAAAAATTTATTGCAGTATTTGCTCCTCCACACATGCTGGGGGTCCCTCGTCCCGCTGTGGGGTGTAGAGACCCAAACGCTGACCCAATACATCAAAATCTACATTTACAAAAAAAAACTCCCTTCCATGTAGGCGAAAGATACTGCATGCTCTGCTTTCAACTGAATAAATTATGTTCAGGAGACTCCATTTTACAGCACAAAAGAAGTAAAACATAAAGCAGAGGAGATGTTTAAAAGTTTATTTCCCTGGAAACTGAGCTAAGCTAAAGAAATCCATCCGGTGCTAGGTTAAACTCCAAGGTCACTTTATTAAGAACATCAACAGACTAATTTCCAACATTCACTTTAGGTTTATTTCTTTGAACAGATTTTTTTTTTTTTCGTCAGAGATATAAACATTTTTTGTTTCTGTTTTGTGTTAAACTATGATACAGTGGAGGGGGGAAAAAATTCAAACAACCAAGTTGCTGCACAACAGCGAAGGAGCTCCGTTTCTTTCTTTTCCGTTTAACTTAAAAGATGTACAGGATTCACATCTACATTTCCAAACAGACCACACTTTTAAAATCGTCGTTCCTTAATTCGACCAGTTCCGCGTTGGATCTTAAAACCTGTGAGTCTGTAGTTCTCTTTTCTCTCCGACTTATGTTTACAAAACGTTAAATCCTGATGAAATTTGGCTGCTGAGAGTTTGTTGGGTGTAACAGTTCGAGAGTTAATTAGCTGGAAGTTCCTTCCTTGGCTGCGTACAGTGAACGTAAATTCTGCACTACTTTGTTGGTCAGTTTGTGCGCGCTTGTCAAGGCAATTTTCTTGTAAATAATGTCAGACTCCTTTATAGTGTCCACCCAAGGCACCAGTTTACGTCCGTTGCGTTTCTTGGCCTCCGCCCAGGTGCCGGAGTACGACCCGGCCATCCAGCGAATGCTGTAGCCTGTGCTTGTCTTATGAATAACACGCGCTATCTGCGGCCGGTCCTTATACTTGGGGCAGCAGATAGCGATGACGTCCATGGCTTCTAAAGTTTCGTTCATGTGACCTGATGCCTCTGCGGAATCTCCGCCTTTCCTGGATCTCCGTGACGACTAGAAGAGAACAAACACATGGTGTTTTCAAGTGACAGTAACTCAAGACATCAAGAGTCGAATGAAAACATCAGCATCTGGGCTTTCTTACCCCAGGAGCCTTTTCGTCCGCATCACTGTCGTCATCGTACGAGTCGGCAGCATTATTCTTGGGGCTGGAGCCTCCTAGTAGAGCAGTGATGGCTTTATTTCTGGCGTGGATACTGGCTGAAGCCTCCCCTTCCTCATCTTCCTCATCTGGGTCCAAGTGCTCCATCAGAATCTTAAACTGTGGAATAAAACATTTAGAGATGGTCAGTTTGACTCATTTTTGTGAAACAGTACAAAAAAAATATTTTTGTAATATATAAATTCAAGACAATTCAATGAGCTCTTTGTGTCAAAAAATCTTCAAGTTCAAGTCTTCTTTTCTTCATATATTAAATGTCTATTAAATGACTGTTATTTTTGCATTATTTATATAGTATTATAATCTTTATAAATATTTTAAATTACCTTATTTTTTATATATTTTTAGTTTTTATTTTAATTGGAGTAATTTTGGTGTCATTTTAAATAGAAAAAAACTAGCCTTATTTTTATAACTTAAATTTATTTCGAATATTTATATTTTATTTGAGCTTAATTTCAATTAATATAATAGTTTGTTTTAGTTAATATCAATACTGGTTTTACTTTTTTTTTTATTGTTGAGTATATAAAAATACAAATTCATATTTTCATATTATGCACATATTAAACCATTAAATATATATTAAATCATTCTTTTGTCTTTTAATACAAAAAAATCATTAATGATTATTAAATGAAAAATTATGATATTAATGATTATTAATTATTGAAAAACAACATGCCCTGATTATTTGACTGAAAAAAGTAACAAATCAAACGAAACATGAAAAATGGATGGAAAAAAGAAATTAAATCTTTAAGTAATTTTCAAGCTATTTCAGAGCAAAACAAAAAAAATTATATATATATATATATATATATAAACAGAGATAATAAAAAAAAAAGACTGAAAACGTAAATAAATTAAAAAATACAAAAAAAATTTTTTTTAAATATGAACAGAAGAATAATTAGATTTTTTTTTTTTATAACTCAGCCTTTCTAAACAGCACCGTATGAGGCAAAACACAAATAAAAAGTGAAAACCAGAATGTTTACATCTAAATACTGTCTGACGACTCTCCTCTTGACATCGTAAGTAAGATCTGCATTGGACAGGCTGTTCGTCAGGTAGTCTAGTGTCTGCCGTGGGTTGAAATGCACATTGGCCTTCCTGTTTACAGCCTTATCATAAACCTTTGCAGATTCGGTAGGTGAGTACTTCTGAATTTTACTGCAGGAAGAGACAAAGAGGCGTTTGTTATGAAGCCAGGGCCATGAACACATTACAATAGTCATTTCAGACCAGAATGCATTTGGACTAGCGATTAAAGCTCACCTGTCAGAGAAGCCGTAGAGGTTCTTAAGGTGCTGCTTGAGCATCAGGAGCAGCAAGATGCCCTGAGAGGCGTTGGCAAAGTCCAATAAGGGCTCGGGGTTGTCAGGTAGACGCAGCATGACCTTGTCCACGTCCTCCAAGTCGAGGTCTGAATCTGAGTCAGAGTTCACTGCAGCGGATCGTCTGGGTTTCTTGGGCCGGCGGATGACTTCATCGCTGCTATCACTATCACTGCTGCTTCCTCTGCTACTTTCATCCTCAGAGCCATATTTTTTCCCTCTTTTTTTCTTCTTTTCCCGTGGTCTAGGCTCTTTTAGCAAAGACTGCAATACAAGACAAGATTATTAGAAAAAGTAATGTCAGCTCTCACAAAAAAGGTACAAAAAGGACCAAAAAAAAAAGAAAGGTGATGCAACCCTTGTTACCACTATGTAAATACATTTTAAAACCTGTGATATTACTGTTAACAAAAACTAAAACTATCTATAAAAAAATCGTATTTGTTAATTAAAATAAAGCTCAAATAAAACAAAATAAAATATCATATGAAAAACTAATATATATATATATATATATATATATATTTAATAAAATTAAATGCAAATTTACAAAATTACTGAAACTAAAATTAAAAATTAAAAGCTAATATTAATAAATAATTAATTAATAATTAATATAAATAAATTAATAAATGAGTATATAAATAACACTTAAATAAAACTGTCTACACCGTTTTTTTTATAGCATTTTTTAGAATTAAATTTCTAGAATTAGCCCTAAAAAATGTTTATAAAATAAAATAAAAAATAAGGGCTAGCAAGCTTGGAATCAAATGTTGGTTTGTAGATACTAATCAATTTAAGGTGCTGCTTGAATATC